CTCCCTCCCTCCCTCTCTCTCTCTCTCTCTCTCTCTCTCTCTCTCTCTCTCTCTCCCTCTCCCTCCCTCTCTCTCTCTCTCTCTCTCTCTCTCTCTCTCTCTCTCTCTCTCTCTCTCTCTCTCCTCCCTTACCATTTCGCTCTTGCACTCCGAGTAGTAACTCGAATTCCTGCCCAATTATTGCATCCTAATCTCGAGGAAGCCCTGAGGCCGGGGGCTACCAAGAGCATGCTGGGGGCTGTGAGTGAGCCACGAATGAACTCTGTATTTTATTGCGGGTGCGTGCGCAGCGAAGGTGATTGAGGAATTCATACCGTGCTGCCTGACAGACGCCTTCAGCCCGTCCTACTGCTCCGTGACAGGCGTTCTCTGCAACAACCTCGGCATGGTCAACTCGCTGTGAGTGAGCGCAACGCGTTGATCATGCTGACATCCATCTATATTTTAAAACCTCTGCTTGTGCGGTGAAGCCTCATAGGCCCATTGCATGTGACATCCACGCTACAACATGCTTTTCGTTTCCAAAACACTGTAACAATAACGCTATCCTGAAAGTTACCCACCAACCCATCATTGAACGATCGCCTCACTGGGCCTGCTGTGGTTCCATGAATCAGGATGGCTTCGCATGGCATGACTGGATGACATGGCATTCATCCCAAAGTAGTAAACGCGTGCCTGCATACTATGTACTATAAAAGTGGTGTGTACTTACTAAGTCGCGACTTCACTCCTGTGGAGTATGTACGAACATATGCTGATACAGTGTAACTACTACTCACCGCAGCGTGCAGTAGTTTCAATGTACCAACCCTGCTGGTACTCCGCGGGGGTTGGGAGTCCCCACACAGTGATTACTGTGTCGCAACTCGATCCCTCGACATCAGCTGGCGCTGCAGTACAGAGAATGTCGGTAGTGCCAATCCCAGAATATAGCAGATACTTGCTACATACAGTGTAGCTACACCTAACGTAATTACAGGGTAACACGTGTAACAATACAGCATAACAAGCCTATATATCCAAATTATCTGCATAAAATCTTGCTGTTTGCATGGTGATTTTATAATAGCGGATTTATTAAGTTAGGCCACAAAACAGAGAGGCATCATTGTACAAAAGCACGCACAACATCACACGGTCCTCATCCTCCTCCTCCTCCTCGCCCTCAGCACCGGGCACGCTGGGGTATTTGGCCTGCATCACAAAAACAGCAACACATGCCAAAAAAAAAAAAAAAACAACAACACATGCCAACATGTTAGGGTAAGAGCTGGTCAGAGCACAACCGTCACAACTGACAGGGAGGCACTTGGAGTGCTCCCACCGTGCCTTGCACACTGCAGCATCGTACCCCTTGGCCCGAAGCAAGGGCATGACTGCTCCATATTGCCATTCCTGCCGCTGCTGCTGCTGGCGGCGGTATTGCTGCTGCCGCTGGTGGTGCTGCTGCTGCTGGCTCCGACAGCATTTGAGGAAGAGGCTTCCTTCTTGGCGGTTTCCAGGGCGACGATGACATCAGCGAACAGCTGGCACTCGTCCGCGGAGGTGCAGGCGCTGAGGGACTAGGGGAGGGGCGCAAAGCGGAAAGGGCGGAAATAAAAGGGGATGGGGGCGGATGAGTTGAGCATTTCACTGGCCATCCCCATCCCCATTCCGACTTCCCCTCTTCTCCCTGTCCCCTTTCCCCCTCACCTCAATGAGGCTCGAGACGTCCCCCTAAACCCTAGACGCCCGCCGCTCTCCCCCATCCGCGGAGCTTCCGCGTCCTGCTCTGCCATGCGCGCGTAGAACGAATCCGCGCCGTCCACGTTATAGCCACCCTCGCTGCCGTGAATCGCGTCGAGCAGGCGGTGGTCGAGAGTGTGGCTCTCCGCCGAGCGGGGGAGGGGGAGCGGCGGGAAAGGGGAGAGAGGCGCACGGGGGACGCGGAGAACGGGAAAGTCAGCGAGGTAAGAGAAAAACTAGGATGATCATGACAGCCGGAGGGGAAGGAGGGGGAAGGGGGGAGGAGCGCAGTGATAACGGAAGGGGTAGGAAATCGAGCGAAGTTCAGAGGCGCAAACAAAACAACGTCAAAACACACATGTTGCTGTCGTAGCTTGCGGCGGTCTTCCCATGACTGCCCGTCGGCAATGCCCCGTGGATTAAATGCATCCCTCGACTGCTGCCGCTGTTCACCGCAGTCGCCGCCGCAGTTGCCGCTGCTGCACCCTCCCCCGTCTTTGCCGCTGCAGATTTTTCCGCTGCCGGCCCTGCCACTGCTGTAATTTGGGCTGCGAGAAGGGTGCCGCTGGTACCGCTAGCACAGCCGCGGTGCGAAGGATTTGCTGCAGCGTGTCAATTCCAGCGACCGGGGAAGCGTAGTGCGGGGTCGGCGGACGGGGATAGTAGTGCCGCGCGCGGAAGTCTGGCGGAGAAAGCCCGCGCGTGCGGTTTGTGGGGGATCAGCTCGCGGGCATAGACGAGTCGCGGGAGGAGAGGGGGGCGGAGGGAAGCGAGCGGCGGGGAGGGCGAGCATGGTGAGGGCGCTGCTTGAAGCTTGTTTGCCGCTCGCTCTCCCCCCTGCTGCCCTGACTCCCCACTCATCCGCCTCCTCTCCCTCCTTCGAGTCCTTCAGTGCACTTTCGAGCGATATCGGCTCGTCCCCTGACCATCATCCCTCGTTCCGCCTCCGTTCAATAGGTTGGAGATCCCGCGTACTGGGTGTGAAGTTGGAGATTGGAGGGAGTAGCGAGTCAGTAGCGAGTGTAGCCACAGTGCATCCCGAAATACATAGTACTCACTCCCACTGTCCAAACCACCCCCTCCCAAAAACAAATTTGGGATGTTAGCGCTTGCATCGCGTTGTTTAGGCGCCTGAAGAATATCTTGCCATTCTGCAAATCCTTTCTCAGAGACCTCGGAACTCACTCCCTTGCCGGCTGCAGCATCCCCTACAGCATCAGCAAGCTCACTGCCATGACCAAACTGTACGTCCCTCTCTCACCACTACCCCTTGTCCCACTCACCACCATCCCTTGTCCCTCTCACCACCACCCCATGTCCCTCTCACCACCACCCCATGTCCCTCTCACCACCACCCCTTGACCCTCTCACCGTGTCACCCCGTGTCACCGTCTGTGTGGGGACGTGTGCCATGGCAGGTCCCTGGCGAACAACAAGCTCATGGGGACTGTTAGGGTTGGTTCGCCCAACCACGGAACCTACGACGAAAGCTTCTACGACGGCGTAATGAAGACGAAAGAAGCGTTTGGACTATTCTAGAGTGAAGCGGTGGATATCGGCCTACGGCGTGAGAAGCGGGAGAGAAATCGGGACGATACTAGAGAAATGGAGGAAGAAGAGTGGAGAAGCATCGAGAATGAAGTTGACGAGGGGAAATTGTGGTTCGAGCTTGAGGCGCGTTCGAGAAGGTTCGAGATTCGGACTCAAGAAGTGTTCGGTGCATTCGGTTCGGTTCCGTGTGCGACTCGGGGTGGAACGAGGCACACGCGGTTACTTGGGAAACAAGTGAAGTTACGAATCGCATTTTGTGTCTTGCCTGACCATAAAACTGCTTGTACTCATTCTGGAAATCACAACATTGGACAACATTGAGATTCTGAAATTGCTGAAGTGTGTATTGACAACTTCAAGCAGAGCTGCGCATATCATTGGATTCGTGAGATCGTGGAGAACACGATAAGAAATAGCAAGTAGACTATTGCCGACTAAGGTGTTTACGATCCTAAGAACTGGTATCAGAGCTTGGCGAACGGGCTCGTCGATCGCGGTGAATTCACTTGGTGCGCTAAGTGAAATTAATGGAGAAGAGGAGTCGTTCACGCCTACGCCATGGGAGACGAGGCGAGTTCGGGTTCCAGTGTGAGTCTTGGAGACCCGCAGTTGAAGGCTCTTCTCGAGGCCCTTGCGAGTGGCCGATGGGTGGCGAAACCGACGATCGGGCTCAGTGAAGCCCAGGAAGCAACTACAACGTGTGGCGGAAGAAGTTTATTCGGAGGGCAGAGGAAGTTGACCTCTTGCCGTACTACCGTCCCGACGAGGAGACGATGGAGGGAGTTGCGCCATCCCCGACGGATACGAAGGAGAAAGTAGCGGCGTTCAAAAAACAAAGTAAGCAAGCGTTCTTTCAGCTTTGTCACTCAGTTGCCGATGGAATCGCGGTGGATTTGGACCAGTTTGCAGGGGAGCTGAACACTGCACAGCGAGCGTAGGAGTACCTGGAGTCCACGTACATGGGTACGAACGATGTCAACAAGAAGGCGATTAGGAAGCAACTGCTGATGCTGAGCATGGAGAAAGGCGAGAAAATCATCACCTACATCAACAGGGCGAAAAACTACAACGACGACTTGCGGGTGATGGGAGCCGCGGAGACGGAGCACGAGATGATTGACTATATCATCCAAGGCCTTCCTAAGGAGTGGGAATCCGACATCGGTATGTTTACGTACCAACCGCCGGAGAGTTTGACGAAGCTGCAGGAGATTCTGCAATCGCTTGAGACGGTGAAGGAGATGAGGAAAAAGAAAGCGGCAGCAGCAGCGGAATTCGACGAGGAGAGGCCGGCTTTGGTGAATGCAACGAAGGCGTTTGGAGCGTGCTACCAGTGTGGAAAGAGGGGGCATAAGGTGATAAACTGCTACGAAAACCCGCGAAGCAGAAACTACAAGGGCAAAGCGGTGGAGAACAAAAATGGAGAAAACAGGGGAGCGGAGTGGCAGCAGAAACGAGGTTTTGGCGGCAAGTGCGACTATTGTGGGCGCTATGGACATCGTGCCGCAGAGTGCTACTCCAATCCGAACAGCAGGAGCTACAAGGGTCCGTCGCAGCAGAGGAATGTGGCGGCAAAGGCGAATGTAGCAGAAGCGAACGAGGATGATGTGATCCTTCGAGGAGCGCATCGTGCGAACGTGGTGCGTTTACCGAAGGAGGTTCGTCAGTCGGATGGAAGTGAGAAGACGGCATGGCTCATGGACAGCGGATGCACGCGTCACATGACGTTCAGGTCAGATTGGATGGAGAATGTGAGGGAGTCGAGTGAGGATTATATACTGCAAGGTAACAGTGGGAAGTTACCAGTGACAGGAGAGGGTGACGTGGTGCTGCAGAGTCCGTATGGAGAGGTGAAACTGGAGAGTGTGCTGCTGGTTGAGGATTTAAAGGTGAATTTGGTCAGTCGCTCATAGCTTGATGACTTGGGGTGCAAGATATTTTATGACAGTGGAAAGGTGACTGTGTTTGGTCCTGAGTGGGAGAAGTATGCCGATGGCTACTTCAGTGACGGGTTCTATGAGATGAACTTGGTCGCGATGAATGATATGGATGAGATCTATGAGGACCATGAGTATGGTGAGATGGGAGAATTCGAGGAGTTATCGGTTGAGGATGATGAGAGTGAGGACTCGGATGATACGGCAGCGAGTGTGGAGGCAGCAGTGAAGCTGAAAGAGGAGATAGTCGCCATGGAGGCAGCAGCAGTGAATGGTGGAGATGGAGTTGGTGTCAACACTTTTGCAGCAGCGATCGTGGTTGAAGATGAAGCAGTAAATGCGAAGTATATGGGAGTTGAAGCTGTGAAAGGGGACATCCTGGTGAAGGGATCAAAGGTGAAAGCAACTGCAAAGGGGCGAGTGCTTACGAAGGAGGAACACGTTGAGGGGTACGAGACCCGGGAGGTGCTGGGTTTTAAGATGCAGAGGAGAAGCGATAGGCAGAAGAAAATATCTCAAGGTTTGGACGTCAAAGCGCTCAACTTCAAGACACGTAAGCAGAGGTTCGAGGTGCAGGAGCTGCAGGGGAGCGTGAAGGCAACTTAGACCCTGTGAAGGCTATGAGGAGCAGGGGAGGAGTGCGAGTAGAGTTCGCGGTTGGCGAACCACAGGGGAGATTGTTAGGGTTGGTTCGCCCAACCACGGAACCTACGACGAAAGCTTCTACGACGGCGTAATGAAGACGAAAGAAGCGTTTGGACTATTCTAGAGTGAAGCGGTGGATATCGGCCTACGGCGTGAGAAGCGGGAGAGAAATCGGGACGATACTAGAGAAATGGAGGAAGAAGAGTGGAGAAGCATCGAGAATGAAGTTGACGAGGGGAAATTGTGGTTCGAGCTTGAGGCGCGTTCGAGAAGGTTCGAGATTCGGACTCAAGAAGTGTTCGGTGCATTCGGTTCGGTTCCGTGTGCGACTCGGGGTGAAACGAGGCACACGCGGTTACTTGGGAAACAAGTGAAGTTACGAATCGCATTTTGTGTCTTGCCTGACCATAAAACTGCTTGTACTCATTCTGGAAATCACAACATTGGACAACATTGAGATTCTGAAATTGCTGAAGTGTGTATTGACAACTTCAAGCAGAGCTGCGCATATCATTGGATTCGTGAGATCGTGGAGAACACGATAAGCAATAGCAAGTAGACTATTGCCGAGTAAGGTGTTTACGATCCTAAGAGGGACTATACCGGACTCTATCTCCACCCTCACCTCGTTAACAAGTCTGTGAGTCCGCTCATCTTTTGAGGCGCCTCGAAGGTCCATGCTGACCTCTTAAAGAAAGCTGTGAGTCGGCTCGTGTTCTCTTGTTGTATCTCACTTTTCGTATGGAAGGAAGTCTTGACTTACAGGCTATTTCACCTTTATCGCCTTCTTTCCACCCTGTATCTTCTCCCTTGCTGACTTCCTCTTATTTATCCCAACATCCTGTGCATAGAGAACTATGGGGAAATCAGCTCACGGGCAGCATTCCTTCCGGAATTATGAAGCTCACAAGCCTCTCTTACCTGTAAGCATGCCCTGGAGAATGTGCTGAAGGAGAGAAGCACAGGTTAGCCTTGCATCCCCTACACAATCGGTGCCCATGCTTCAGCCTTGACGACTTTGTTTAACTACAGCATCTTACATGGCCGTATGAAACTGACAGGTGGTAAAAGAATACTGGGTATAGATGAGGGCTCATAAGTCATGATTAGAAAGTAACAAGAAATTGCCAGGAACAGAACAAGCCAAGGCTCGCAACTGCCTGCTCATGATTCCTACTATATCCATTCCACATGTCGTACCTGCAGAGGCCTCTCACAGAATCAGCTCACTGGCAGCATTCCTGCCCTCCCAGTCTCTCCCTACTACTTTGCCACTAGTCTGTAAGTAGACTGGAACTCCTATGAAGCACTATCCTTCTGAGTGCAGTCATTCTGTCCTTAACCATCCTTTCGAGTTCACCCAAATCGAAACCTTCCAACTATCTCCACCTGGGTTTCCCATGCTTCGTGCCCTCTGCTACCCTTCATCCTCTCCCAGCCAACTGCAAGGCAACCAGCTCTCCGGGCCCCTTCCTGCTTCCTTGGGGAGGATTTACGACAATAAACAATTGTGAGGGCTGCGCTGAAACGTGTAGAGGCGAGGGATGGAACAGGGGCTGATGGAGGGAGGGAGGGAGGCTGAGAGGAAAGGGGAAGAAATGTAAGGGAGGGAGATAGAGAGTTGGGAACAAGAGTGGTGGCATTAGAAAGAATATTGATCCGAAATAGTTGGTGTGCCGTATGGAGTTTCCTGCTGGGCATGACTCAGTCAAGCGGCTTGTCGCCTCCTAGCCTTTGGAGCATCTTACCAGCTGTCTCTGATTTGTACTGCCCTCCCTCCCCCCCCTCATGGAATTAAAAACTCCAACATCATCCCATTCCAGGAACATCGACTGGGATAACTTCACGTGTCCTGTCAACGAGGGAAATTGTGCGGTGTACCAGGATAGCATAACTCCATTCTGCTGCAACCTCTAAAAAATATGGCTGCAGCTTGGCACATTGCAACTGTTAGGCATGAGCAGAAACGAAATTTGTGGTTCGGCCTGGGGCGCACTAATTCGTAGAATTGTAGCGGGAAGACAAATCTGTGGACCGAGCTGGGAAAATTACTTTCCTCGGCTGCCTGGGTCGAATAAGCAACGTGAGGAGGCCACCTTCTGGCACGTGTGCCAGCCGGTGATAGCGCAGGACTGTCGCGGTCCTGCCCTACCTAACCTGGTCGGCACACCTAAACGCTGGGTCAAACCCGAACTGCAATTTGCTTTTTTTCCTCAACCCACCTGCCCTACCTACCTGTCGTGTGCCTTCTGCCGAGGAGAGAAGGAGTAATCAGTTGGATATTTACGGGAGAGCGTGAATTAGAATTTTGCAAAGGAGTATTCACGACATCGTCCTGAACTGCAACTGTGATCTTTTCTCAATCTTACTGTCATGTGCCTTCTGCCATGACATCTCGTTTTCCCATTGAATTGTCCTTCTCCAGCCCATAAAAGTCTTTCCTACTTTTAGATCTGGGAAGCAGAGACACCCAAACCTCCTTTTCTGTGCTCCTGCTTACTTTGCATTTCATGTTCTGTGCCATTGCCTCTCTCACATCTCATCGTATCTTCCCATTCAATTTAGGGATCTTAATAAAAATAAGCTCACTGGCTCTATCCCTGCAAAAATTGGCTCAATGAGGAAGTTGGTGTTTCTGTAAGGATTGTTTATATCGGTTCCATTCCCTGTTCTGCCTTGTAAATAATTTTGAGCAACTATCTCCCCTCCCATGCACCCTGTTCTCACGCCGACACCCATTACCAGCATACGAGTATGCAATAATTTCTCTACAAAAACACACTAACCTACACAGGTGTCTGAACCAAGTTGGCGGCCGCGTGTTGAAACCATGGCTCCAAACTGGGGATCTATTAAACATGTTCGTGTCCAACCAGATAGATTTTATTTGGAAAAAAATGCTTGACCCCAACTTATGTAAGCGTAAAACAGTCTTGGTGGTATCAACAGCCATCTTTGTTGGTTGGCCGACCCAGAGTTGGTGGTAAGGCCAGCACAACCAACAAACTTTGGTTTTTTCCCACCAACAGCTCTCTCGGCTCCAACATGCTATCTGGATCCTTGCCCTCCTCGATAACAGAGTTCGCAGAACTTTTAGAATTGTAAGAGGTCAAATGCTCACTAGGAATGCACTTGTAGGAGGTCAAGCACGCTGTTGTCACTCTACTGAGTAAGGTGCATGAGAGTGGAAGGCTTCTGAGAGTCGAAGGGATGCTACTTCTACCACTGCTGCTGTGGCTGTTGATGTTGAAAACTAATCTGCTTGGCTCGTGGCTTGTGAAAGCATGACGAGTCAAAAAGGCTTGTGTGGAGCTAGCCAGTTGGCTCACGAGCCTCTTCTCCGCGTGATTGACACTCATAATTGTGACAAAGAACCAATGATTAACCTAAGAAAGCGTGAAGTAGGAGCAAGATTCTAAGCGCATGTTTGGTTCGACTCGAACATGTTTGAGTCGGACCAAACAGGCCTGTTTTTGTTAGCCAAATGTGTTAGACTCAAACATGATTGATGTTCGAATCGAACATGTTCGGTTCGGCAGGCCTTTTTTTTCCCGAGCCACGTCAAACATCAAACATGTTCGAGTACGAACGAAGCATTCGCAAACCTAAAGATGTTTGCGTAAAAAGTCTCTTGTGAGGCGTTTCACGGTTCAAAACCTAAAACAAGAACTAATGGAATTCGGAATGCAGTAGAGCTAGGCGCTAATTGATAACTTAGGCTGGAGGAGTGTGGTGAGTTAAGTTGGGTCTAGCTCGCGCAGACTAGGGTTGATGTAGTTGTGGAGTAAAGTAACATGTGAAGTGAGTGTGTGTTTGCTTGACTCAGTAGGCCTGGTTGGGTTTAGGAGGTGCATTGCGGTATTGTGGGGTTTGAGTGGGCCGGGCTTGCTGGGCAAAAATTCAGATATCATTGTCGCTATAGAATCCAATGCAATTTACATCAAAACACTTAAACGCGAACTTTTGTTATGCGAAAATCCTCTAAACGAATTCGAACATGTTCGAGATCGCCACGAACAGTGTGATGTCTGTGGGACCAGTGAAGTGTTCGACAATGAGGGCGTACACTCGAAAACCCCTAATGAGCAAAAATGCTTGATTGAACCGAACATAATCAGTTCAAAAAACAAGGGTGTTCGACAACGTTTGAACTGAACATGTTCGAGTTTGAGCGTTGCTCATCCCTAGCACGAAGGTACACAAAGGTGAGAGAGCAAGAGGTTGGTTTGCACCTTCGCGAACATTACTGGACCATATAGAAAATGGATCGGTGAACTTAGGGCACAATAGGAAGAAGAAAATATCCTTAGTAGGAAGATGGTACAAGCCTTAGAGACTAGAGCGAGGTCTTTGTCCAAGGATGAGTTCTAGTGAAGTAAGAAGCCACATATATGTGGCTGAACTCTTGAGGCTAGCTGCAGCACCTCAAAGCTGAGGGCAAGCTAGCCAACCTTGCCAAGCTAGCAACTGAGGCCTCATGTTGCACACGTGGGCCAGGCTCGAACAACAGCATACATGGCAGCATATGGCACACCATAGGGGCTAGCAAGGTGGAATATAGAATGATTGAAGAGATGGCAATCCCAACTGTGACCACTTGGCTGTGGGTGCTTGTGGTGGAGCATGAACATGTCATGGTGAGCATAATCAAAATGGAAAGTGCAGCTGGTGAGAGTTGAACCCACGACCTCTGAGACTAAAGTTGAAAATCTACCCATTAGGATATACTTGTTGCGCAACACCGCCCCTCAATTAAGCATGTCACTGAGGTAGGGTTTTCAAGAGGAGACATGGGTGAGACCGAGAAGAGTGCGGATGCGAAGACAACGGTCACGGGGCAAAGGCTTGGTGGCAGTATCAGCGAGGTTGTCTTTAGTAGGAACATAGTGAAGGGTGACGGAGTGGTCGGCAAGATCATCACGAATGAAATGGTGCTTGATGTCGATGTGCTTGGCCCTGGG